GACGACGGAGACGATAGCGGATGGCGCAGTACCGGAGGGAGAGAGACAAGTACAGACGCGGCGCTTTCCGAGTTTGACGCGACGCGCCCAGTGACGCTCATCACGTGCAGTTCATTAAGCGAAGCGCTCGCCATGCTCAAGCTTTTTATCATCCACGACGACTTCAAGCTTCAAGCTGAAGTTGTTGACCCCTTTCATACGCCTCTGAAACATGCTAAAGACCAAACATGCCTCGTGTGTACTACTTTTCCAGGTCCGCCCTTATAGTCCCCGCCGTCTACTAGTACGACACCGGTTGATTTGCCACCAAACACACCTGCCGTGCTCCTCTGCGCCATTATGATGCCCCCCAAATAGTGGATCTGCAAATGCACAGCATTGCAAAAGCTCTCTAAAAACTACTCACACATCATTAATCATTGCCTGCATACTACGAGCGCAAACGTCCCCCTCTCACAGATGAGTCCCATCCATAACATAGACGTGCCAATCCCTGACATCATGCTTGCTGATAGTCGATGAGTTTGAGGACGAGATCTCGTATGGTACATGTGCGACCTTGTAGACACCCAACTATTATAAAATCTACGGACCCCCCCGTGAGTACCTATAGCTTTCTTATGATTCCGACTGTTTTAACGCACACTCATCGCCATTGTGAATAGATTTGGACCTGCTACTACTAGTGAAAGAACACGAGCAGTCATAGCTTAACAAATCATAGCACGACCGTTGTGGTCACAATCGCGCCACAACATCCAGGCCTCTTTGAAGCCTTGCCACTCTGAAATATTAGGAAAAACCTTTCATACGGTACCAATGACCTTACTTCGAACTACGCACCCTGAAACATCATCGCTCGCTGACGAGAAGCCCCGTATCCAGACTGTACTGCGATCTTACCATCTTGACGACCCAGCTTTAGCATCTGTCCACTGTTTTCGGTGTTCATCAAGCCCTTGGGTTGACCCTGCGGTGATTCTTCGCGGCTTCTTCCCGCTCACCAACCAGCGAGCGGCCACTGGCGGGCGAACGGTCGGATATAAGCGTTTCACGCCCGTCCGATCCCGTCGTCTGTCGGTCATATTCTCGGGACCGCCTCTCTGATCGGCAAAAATCCGAGAAAAGATCACGTCCTTCGGGCCTGGTCAAGTCTCTCGGATCCGACGTTCGCTCGAGTCTCGACATCAGCGAGTCAATGCCAAGCGGTGAGGATGTCAAGAGGCTCCCAAGATGAAGTCGACCTTCTCAGACTTTTGACACCGTGCGTATATCTTCACCTTTTCTGCGATTTTTCCCATCTTCTTCTCAGGTCGGATGACGATCCAGAACAGCTCGTTCCTAGCACGTCGCTATCGCCATACGGCAAACGTGACACGGCCACGGTCGCCGCCCGCGCATCATATTCCATTATGACAGGCGCCGTCTACTGTGCCTCCTGCGCAGACCCAGGAACGACCCTGCAAATTGGACAACGTCTCTTACTGACGTTGATGTACGCCACTAATATTGGTTTGGTAACATGCGAATGCGATGCCCAGGCACTTTGACGACGGACCCTTCTCTACGGCCGAACGGCAACCATTGCATCCTGTCAGGGATTGACGGTCGCTCAAGATGAGTAAGCCCTCGACGCGTCGTATCTTCTCACGAGAATATTGAGCGAATCATCCCCTCAGCCTACCTATCGTTCCTCGGGACTACCGTGGATACTGCAACGTCGGAATCGGACTCGGACGTGGATGAAGGTGCGTGATGTCAACGGGGTCGCTATGGATTAACCCTTTGCAGCGCTAGCCGAGTCGGAGGGTGACCCACTTTCGCGTATTTGAGTGAGATCCAACACAGATCTTACGATGGAGATCTCCGTGTCCCTAAAGCCGCCGCCAGCCTCCCCAAATCTGGAGCCGCAGCGTACGGCTACCACTCGAATGTCCCACACTCGGAAGAGCAGGCAGACACGCTTAACCGGGCTCGTGCGACCACGTGTCCCGCTTTGCTACAGCATCTGCTTATTTCACCGCTAGACAGAAGGCCAATATTGCTTGCGGAGGGTTGCTCAGTGGGGGCACGGGCCGCCAAGGCCATAAATGGCTGTTACGCTTGCATCCGGCCACCGAGCTCCTGCTTCTCCAGGGTCTTCGATCAATAGAGTGCTTCTTGCGCATGTGAGTATCGAGCATCTCCCCAGAAATGCCCCTGTCGCCGCTCACACTCCTGCGCATCCAGCGCTGACAGAGCCTGCCAGCGACCTGCTTGGTGCTGCCGTACCTCGGAGGCATGCATCCAGCAATTTCCCGCGCGTCCTCCGGGCTTATTGTTATGCGCAACACCTCCCGCCGCTGCGCCCCTTCGAGGCGTCGTAGCCGACCCTCCTGCGAATCCGCGATCTGAAACGCAGGGCAGGATCTCAGGCCGGGCAACGCTCCTCTCAGTCGGTCAGCCCGCTAATTTCTCCGTCGCTTCGAGATCTCACCGCGGCGCGGCCCTCGTTTTTGCAGTTTTATCCCTGGATTTCTGCGGGTTTCTACCAAGAGGTACCGCGAGCGACGGTGTGCGCACAGCTTCGGGCGCGGGTACTTCAAAAAGGGGCCCGCCCTCAGCGAGCAATGTCGCATTCCTCAGCCCCAGTCCCTCTTTTCCCTTTCCCATTTCTTCCCTCTCATTACCCGAGCAATGGCCGTCATCACCGCCGCACCTCGTCCCAAGAGGATCTTCTTCCCAGACCTCATCGCCCGCTGTCCCTTCCCCCTCCGCTACAACCCGCATTGCGAGAGCGCCTCCGCCGAGTCCAAGGTCTGGCTCATGTCCGGCTGCCGATTGAGCAAAAAGAAGCGCGCCGCGTTCCACGGGCTCAAGGGCGGGCTGCTCACGGCGATGGTGTACCCCGAGGCGGACTACGACCAGTTCCGCGTGTGCTGCGACTGGATCAACTACCTCTTCCACCTCGACAACATCTGCGACGAGATGGACGACCGCACGACCGTCAGCACCGCCGGCGAGATCATCGGCGCGCTGCGCGACCCGCACGGCTTCCGCCCCGCGTCCGCAGTAGGAAGGCTGACGCAGAGGTGAGTATCCTCATGGCCGGGGCCCCATTCACTACTGGTCACTTCTTCTTGCGTCGGGCGTATTGCTCACGTCCCACGTCCCACGTTCTGCACAGCTTCTGGCGCCGGATGTCGGCGACGGCGTCGCCCGGGGCCCAGCGGCGGTTCATCGAGACGTTCGAGCTGTTCTTCCGCGCGGTCGCACAGCAGGCGCGCGACCGCGCGTCGGGCAACATCCCCGACCTCGAGTCGTACATCGCGATGCGGCGCGACACGAGCGGGTGCAAGCCGTGCTGGGCCCTCATCGAGTACGCGAACGACGTGAGTAGTAGTACACGCGGGCATCTCCGTCGGTGTGTATAGCTGATGATGATGGGCCCCGCCAGCTGGACTTGCCCGACTGGGTGATGGAGCACCCATGTGTGCGAGGCTTGGAGGAAGCCGCGAACGATCTCGTCACGGTACGTTTATCTCTGTTTCCCTGCCCCCGGGACGAGTGCGTGTACTGATCGAGGCCTGCTTTGTACTAGTGGTCGAACGTACGTCTTCTCCGCGTTTCTCCGGAACCCTCCTTGTGGGTGCTCGGCCGGACCTAGACTCACGCACCTTCTCTTCCCTGCAGGACATCTTCTCCTACAACGTGGAGCAGTCGAACGGTGCGCTTCCCGCCATCCTTTCCCTCCCTCGTACGCGCGCTGACATATGCGCGCACCCTGTCCTCTTAGGCGACACGCACAACATGATCGTCGTCGTGCAGACCCAAGAGCAGCTCGACCTGCAGTCCGCAGTCGACTACGTCGGCGACCTGTGCCTCGGGTGCGTCGACCGCTTCCAGACGCTGCGCGACGCGCTGCCCTCGTGGGGCCCGGAGATCGACGACCAGCTCGCGGCGTACGTCGCCGGGCTCGGCGACTGGATGATCGGCAACCTCGTCTGGTCGTTCGAGACCGAGCGCTACTTTGGCCGCTCGGGCAGGAAGGTGCGCGCCGCGCTCGCCGTTGCACTTCTCCCGCGGCGCAAGTAGTAGCGCTGCCTGTCCGGCACGTCGATAGCTGGTAAGCCGTTGTGACGCCGTGGGAGGGAGGGGCGCGACTGGCTGATGCGCGTCCCCACCAGATCTTGCGCTGCGCGAAGGCTATCGCTTCCCCTCGCACCCGCACCCCACACCCCACACCCCCCTCGGACTCTCTTCGTTCTTCGTTCTCGTCGCAATCGAACTCTCCACTCTCCTCCGCACGCGGCGGCTGCCGATGCGCGAAGGCGCCGCCGCGGGACTTTTTCGTGCTACGGTCGCGCGTGGCGGACTTCGGGACTTCGGAGGTTCTTCGTGTTTGCAGCCCGGACCCGCGTGCCACGCATCTCAAACTCAGACGCAGCCTCCTCCTTCTCACCGGCCGCCGGCCATCCACACTCCCTGGCTCCTCTTTCCTGCTTTGTTTATCGCCGCTGCGCCCCGCTCTATTCTATACTCTATACAGAAGGCACTCCGTACCCCGCCGTGGTGCGTCCTAGATTATTATTCACTTACTCGCTGTAGAACTCTTCGCCTCCCCTCGTCCCCATCGCTTCGCTTCGCTCGTCGCTCTCATTCGGTCTTCCTCGTCCCTCCTTCGCTACTTCCACTTAGACACGCCGGTTTCCGGACACACTCCCCCAGCCTGCCCCCCTCTCGCACGCCCTTCGTTCCTTATTCGCCAGCGTCTTCTCCACCTGTAGCATCTACGTACGTACCACTACTTATTCACTCCTACTTACTACCACTACTACCGTCCTACCCAAGTCGTTCTGAACCCTCCGGAGGCAATCCACGCTCGATGGCTCCCGGGATGCGGCTGCCCTCTTTCGACGCGTGATCCTGTAACCTCCGTGCGAGCGCGGACTCGGAGGCGACAATCGAAAGCGGCACGCAGGAGCTCGCTCGAAGCACACAAAAAAAGGGATATGCACTTAAGGTGCTACCAGGGTTCGAACCTGGGTTTCGGGAACGAGCCTCAGGCCGGCGTCAGATCAAAATCCCGAGTGATAACCACTACACTATAGCACCGATGCCGCGTACCGCGCGCGGCGTTTTGGATTCTGCACCTGCACATGCGCACTCCAGCTGGCCCATTTACTAGTGCTCCAACTTTTGTGTCAGTAGGGTCGGGGCAGTTGTGTGCGAAAAAAAGACCGTTCGCCTTGACCTGCTGCGCGACGGTGCCAGGTGCGTGGCGCAGCCCCTGAGGCTGTAGGCTTGTGAGAAAAAAGTAGACGTCAATCCAGCCCTGAATAGCAACTCCTGGTTTCGATCCAGGGACTTCAGGGTTATGAGCCCTGCACGCTTCCACTGCGTCAAGTTGCTGTAGAAGTTACCCCTGTGTTGGTATTCCGATCGCGCCCTCCCTGTTGCACAGAGGGCCATGGCTTGAAGTTAAGCACATCGCCCCTCTTCGTGATCATCCACATTCCAGTCGAACACGGGGTCAGCGGGGGCGACGACATGATATCAGCTTGCTATATGATGTTTCGCTCCTCGAATCCGCGCGTGCATGAGAGCAGCCGCACGGGTACCTTGTAGCTGCGATTCATGCAGGTGCGTCCCCCATGGGTATCCTATACAAGTCCGAGCTGATCATATCTGGGTCGAGTATATGTTACATCGCAGCCGGGGGTACAAGTACAATCCATGGAGCAGGCGACCCTTCGCGAGGCTCCCTAGTCCCTGCGGTAGCCGTCCTTGTAGTCCGAGTTCTGCGCCACCCATGAATCAGACGAAAGCTCTGTCACAGCACCCAACGTGCACTCACCTTCGTGTACATCCCGCCCCGGTCGTTGATGCGCCTCTGCTCCGCCGGCTGCCCCACCGGGCCCTTCGCGTCCTCACCCCGCTCGCGGCTGCTCCCCTACACCACCAAACACCTCCGTCAGCCTCGTCTTGCATCTTAAAGTTACAAAAGGCACTCACGTGAATGGTCGACAAGACCGACGCGACGACGTTCCGCACCGGGTGCGCCTTCTCCACCGGCGGCGCGGCAGACTCCGCAGGGGCGCTGTCCGCGGGCTTGGCCTGGACGAACGACGCGCCGACGGACTCGGGCGAGCTGGACGCGCGCGCGCGGGACGTCGAGTCCGCCTTGCCCGTCGCGCTCATGCGGTCGTTGAACTCCGGCACCTGCTGCGCGTGCCGGAACTGCCCTGCTCGCCCACGTGTGAGTACCCAAGGTGCGCGTGCATGAGGGGGGAGAGGGGGAGGGAGAGGGAGAGGGGGGGCGTACAGGTGGGCATCTCGGCGGGGTTGGCGGAGGAGTGGCTGCGGTTCTGCTTCGCGAACTGGAGGCGCCAGAAGCCGTAGAGGCCGAGCGCGACGCCGGCCATGCCGAGGAACATGGTCTGCGAGGGGGCGGGGCGGTGAGGCATGGTGGTCGTGTGGTTGAGGGAGGTGGGCGACGTACCTTGCCGTTGCCGCCTTGGGGGACCATGGGCATAGGGGCGGACGGCCTCGCCGCGCGGAGGTTGGGAGCTTGTCCGGCGTTGATAGGCATGCTGATCAGAGAGGAGACTTGGTTGGAACTGAGTGTATGCGTTTAAAAGGTAAGGTGGGTGGAGGTGTAAAAGCAGAAGAAGAAAGTAGGTGGGGATCATGTTGACGAACCCCTCTATGTTTATGGCCCTCGCGCCGCGCGGATGACATGGCGGCGGGCGGGCTCGATCGTGTCTATGAGGCGTACCCCAGTGACATAGGGTCAAAATCACGATCAGCCACCGGAGAACCAGGTTGGGCAGGTAGCTGACCATATACGGACGTGGATGCAGAGGCGGCGTCATCCGGTTTGTGGCGCAGACTTGGCGTCATCGTAAACCTGGAAGGGAAGCCCGCCATGCGCGGATCCGCCACTGCGAATCTCTCGTTAGTAGTCCATGCATATTCGTACCATCACCGATGCATGGCTCTAGAATCGTGATTATGCCTGTACTCTAGCGTGGGGAGATATCTGAAATTCCACAGAGGACCACTGAAGTTGTTGCGTCAAGGGCAGACTAGTCCGAATCCCACGGAGGCAGCTGCCTACGGTAGATCCGCATTAGCAATGACGTCAGGAACGAGGGAAGGGCGCGCGGAGGGAGAGAGGAGATACCTGTCACGATCGCGACGGACCACGGGGTAACCGCCCCTTTCCTACCCATTAGACTTCTCGGATCTGTGTGTGTTAGAGCGATCTGCATCCGGCGGACCCGAGAATGACGCAGTGTGCTTATACCATGTCTCGATACATGCACGTTTTTATAGCGCGGGCAAGCGTACGTCTCGGCGCTGTAGATCTAGAGCCCATGCAATCACTTCGCGACGCGGTGGCGGGGAACACGTCTTCGCGAGCACGTGACCGCGTCGAGATCTACGAATTCACGCGACGGGACTAGTTGTGCTTTCAACTGTTCCTGTACAATATGACAAAAAAATCAGCCGCTCTACGAAATCCACCAGGAACCCAGCAGCCTGGTAGGATCACACAGCGTCGTCGTCCCACTCGTCCTCATGTTCCTCGTTCACCATAGCCGACCCTCCGTAGATCTCGCTGACATCGTCCGTCATACGAGACACAACGCTCGGCCGGCCCCCACTGGCCGGCCTGAACACGAGCGTATCCTGCTGCCCCAGTGCTCGTGAGATCCGCGGGAGTTCGCCCTGTGTGATGGAGTTCCCTGCGGATGACCGCGCGACTTCGTGCAGGTCGAGCATGAAGCGATACGTCATGATCGCGGTGAAGCTGACGAAGGTTATGTATCAGCGAGGGGGAAGTTCGTGCGGACTTGGAAAAGGCGCACGCTGCTGTCCAGGTCGACATGGGTTCGATGAGCTTGAGGGGTTGAAAGGGCGTTAGGACGTAGACATGCGCTGTCTGAATGCTGTACACACCTCCTCGTTCTTGCCGAGTCCAAGTCCTACGATATTCACCACTGAGATAACGCTAGGATCAATTTCCTCATCAGTATATCCCATACAAAACAGCCCGAAGACTCAAAGCAAGACTTACCGAAAGTACACCGTACCTAGTATCCATGCGCCCTCACGTCAGTGCAAGCATACGAATGGAAGCCAACGGAGGTACGCACCGCTTCGCATCAGCGTCTGCGAGAACGTCGTCTTGACGCCCAGCGCGCCGCCGTGCCCGCGGAGCGACCAGGTGTTCAGCAGCGTGAGGCCGAGCACGGACAGGTCCGCGACGACCGTGCACGTCCGCGCCCCGAGCATCACTGCGCGCGTTGTCGTCATTGTGAATACTAGAGTTCAGTACACTGGGCTTGTCGAGAGAAACGTACACCTATGATGGAAGATGAAAGATGAGAATGAGGATGGAGAGATCGAAACCGGCCGGGAAGGATACTTACTTTGCGTAGTAAGCGTCCGAGATGGTCGTCGAGAGGCTGCAGCTCGTGAACAGCACCGTGCTCACGCCCGCCGTCGACTGCGTGAACGTGTACTGCGACGAGTTGTCAGCATCACCCGACTCCCCTGTAGTACAGATACAAGCGTAACGCACGATGGATATGGCTGGGTAGACCAAGCCGAGGGCGAGCGTCGCGAGAAGTGCCCAGCGGTTCCTGTTGCAGACCGCGTATGCGCGCAGCGCAGAGAACGCTGTGATGAATGTGCGATGAGCTCCTAGTCGTTCGTAGAGGGAAGGAAGCGCTTACTGGCGGCGGAGAGGAACAATAACGCGCTCAGCGCCATCTCGAGGCGTATCAAGAACGCACAGCTGCATTCGCACGACATCAGACCTCCGTCGAACGCAGGAAACACCGCGAACGTGTATACCTCTGCAAGCATATGTAAGTACCAGTGCACACCGTACGGAGAACACGGAGGGGACACGCACAAGGTCATTCTGCCCAGGCCACTCCGTGACGTCCAGCACGATCAAGATGGAGCTGAAGAACGCCGCGTAGCGCACGACGTAGAACAGCAGCGCCGGGCTGCTGAGCCGCCGCGCGCGCCACATGATGCGGACTTCTTGGTCGAAGGTCAGGGCGTAGTCGTAGAAGACCAGGACTGTAAGTGCACGACGAGCTGGAGGTGAGCATGTAGTTATAATGGAATTAAGCGAGGGGGGGACGTACCGGCGGCGGCGATGTTGCAGGTCACCACTGTTATCCTAGACACGAAACGTGAGTAAGTTAGACGGTGTCGTGTAAGGAGATCCCGAACTCACACCGTGCTGTATCCGGCGACGATTTCCGCCAGGTAGGCGTCGCTCGTTGAGTCCGCCATGTTTCTGAGCTGGGGTCCTGCTGCGTTTGTAAAAGTTGAGTGGTATGTCGGGTTTGTTTTGTTGGCACGGGAGGGGCAGAGAGTGGGACGTGAGCGGCGTTAAACCTGTGGTTTTATGTGTCGATAAACTCTCCGAACGTCAGATCGTCAGAGCCTAATGTACAGCTGTCCAGTGTTTCAGGATGTCCGGAATCCCACTGGCTGCAGTTAGTCAGTCGATTTCCGCTCGAGAGGGGGATATCCAGTATCAAACCCTGAAGTCGTGACGAAACATACCGCCGACCGAGATACTCATCGCACGGCCACATGGGCTTGTACGAGGATACAATGTGCCATGTACTATGCGTCACAATATCCGCATAAAGCCAGCCCAAGCCGCAAGCCGCGTAAGAGCACGCCCGACCGCCCAGATAGACTTCAAGCTCAGGCTGTGCCACGCACACACACATGCTGTGCACAGACGCGGACGAGCATCGAGCAGACGATCGTATCGACCCAGAGTCAATGCTGATCATGTCGGAAGATCCTGTGCGTGGCGGCGGTTCGGCTCCCGGACAGATGGGTTGACAAGTGCAAGGGGTTACGAGCAAAAGAAGGCGCGCGCTCTGGTTACTCCTGACAGGTGGGCGGCGGCGGCGTCGCGACAGACAGCATGGGGG